ATCTACCCCTGGCTCTACCGCTTCCCAGTTGTGTGAACGTGCCTGAGTATCAACTGCAAATATTTTTTCAGTATTAACTCTATGCCATATACATTTATGCAAAGTGCGTATTATGTCCATTCATAATAAACTGTTGATTCTCAGTTTCCCTAAATATTGCATGGTTCTACTAATTAAGTAACTAACTAACTTACAGGGTTTTTGTAAGGATTGCAGGCACTACAGGATAATGTCTAGTAAAATATGATAAAAATATCTAGGATTAGTGCTAATAAATATCATTATTAGACCAAAGAAATGAGCAGAGTTAGATAGCATGAGTTGTACAGAACCTGAATAGGAAAAGGTTGATGAATAGAACCCTTATCATGTTGGCTCATGACTGGCAGAAAAGTTTGAGGGGAAATTCACTGAATATATGGCAATTCAGTTGTAGGTGGCTCTAAGGGAAAGAGAGATTTCTACAAATTGCAAGTTTTGTGTGACCATTTCCCTCTGAACGTTGAGACCTGTCAAGATTCATGCTGCTGCCTCTCTGTGATATGTGGATTATCTATAATGAATGCACTGTGCCAGATACCGGGGGTGCCAAAAAAATGTATATTCATGACTTGTATTCATCTCCTATTATCAGTGTATATTGAGGATTACAAATACAGGTGTGTGTTTTTTCCTTTCTTAAAATGTGTAAACATTTTTTTGGCACCCTCTGTATTACAGAAAAGTATTTGTGAAAACAATGTTTCTTGGTTCTCACAGCTCCATACTACCAGTTTCCTTCCCTAAAGGACAGTTCAACTCCGGACTAATGGGCAAATACTGCCTTCAAGTTGCGGCATCCAGATCTGGGAGATCTGAATTTATTTTCTCTTCCAGCACCATCATGTTATCACAACCAATGACCAATGGAACCGTTATAATTGTCACACCAAGTGGCATCAAGTTGCCCCAGACAGAGACACCCAAGCCCACCAACCAGGGGCAGGGTATCCTGAAGAAATATCTAAAGGCAGAAGTTAAAGTTTTGGGGGTAAGCCCAATTCGGAATGTATTGGAGTGGGAAGGGGTGAGGGACAAAGGGAAGAGCCTATGTGTGTCTTGGGACTGGAGATCCATTGTGAGTATGGAGACTTTTCAGTTTTACCAAAGGGATCCGGGTTGATCTCAGACCAATGGAAGCCATTTGAACTTTCCACAGACCTCTTCCACATAAGATGGTAATAAAAATGTTCTTTCCTCTAACCCAAATATGAGCAATTGAGTTTTTTTGTTGTTTCTGTATTTTGGCAATAGAGTAGCTCTCTACGTTTTCTTTAAAACAACAACCACCACTTTAGTGAGGTATAATTGGCAATGCAAAAAGCTGTACATCTATATATATATATTTTTTTACAAAAGTAATGGTGGCAAATAATTATATATTTTGTATACACTTGTTTCTGTTGGTGTTCACCAATTGCATGCTTAAAAATCTGACTGATGTTTTGAAGGAAATTTTTTCCCTCACTGCAAATTATAGGAAAAATAAACTTCCTTCCCCCTCTGTTTTCCTTCTTATTCGAGAACAGAAATGATATTTACTTTCTGTTTGTTTCTCCCCTCTCACACATGACTTATTAAAGAAACTCTATGGAGCGGAGGGAAGGATATATCTAGGAATGGTAGGGAAATACAGAGCTTTGCTCCCCAGAATTGTCTCTGCACTTATATGATCTGAGGTGAGGCACTCTGTTTGATCAGGTTTCAGAGCCTGGTGGGACTGATGGCCTTGTGTCAAATATACAATACAACAGTGAAAGTTACCATGAGGCTCATGTAACAGAAGATTTAGAAAGATACTTGGTAAATGTTAATAAAGCTGTAGATATCTGAGGTGGCTGTCAAGGAGGACATGTTGACTTCTTAAGATAGAGCTTCAGGGTCCTTCGTTATAGGGACACAGGTTGAGGAGGTCTCGGAACCGGCCAGATGGCCAGTATCTATGTTGTTGTGTCTGGTGGAGTCTGGGGGAGGGGCTTTCACACTGCCCATGCTCAAGAGGGTGTGAGGACTTACAGATGTCCCCTGTTCCCACAAGAGGTACAAAGGAGAGTTAGTAGCAATGAAATCAGAGAGCTGGGGATAAAGGAGTCTAGCATTTGGCATGAGCTAGGACAAGGGTCATGAGCAGACATGGTGAGAGAGGAGAAATGGTGGAAGGCTTGCCGAATGCCCACCGGATGACCAGAGATAATAGTTTTCTATGGTACAACAGCGTCTCCTCCCAAATACCTTTCAGAGTTCTCGCTCCAGGGTTTTTACAGTGTCCGTATCCTCACTGGGATCCAGCAGAAGGTGACAATGCATGAGCACGATGGGAAAGATGAAGAGGCCCTGTTTTCATAAATGCTGATTTTAATCCTCCATCTCCCTTCATCTTCCAACAGACCATCCAGATCCTGTGTGGGGTGATGGTGTTGAGTTTGGGAATCATTTTGAAATCTACTCCGCTCTCTTCACCATTTGCCCAAGTGTTTTCCACCCTGTTGCTGGCTGCTTACGCAATCCTAGGAGCCTTGTGTGTGAGTCAAGATCTGTAGGAGTGAACAATGGGGTGAAGGTGGGAGGGAGATGCCAATAGTTTAGGCTCTTCACCTTGCTACATTTCTGTCTGCCAGGAGCGAGGGGTCAATGGAAGAACTTCTCTTCGGTGTGTAGTCCAAGTAAGAACCGAGTGGGGTGGCAGGTCAGAAGGCACCTGATTTTACATCTACATCTAACCATTTCTTTTGAAGATCACCTTACTTTTGCCCTCATCATCTGGAGCTATAATGAGGCTAATGGCGTCTCTTGAGGTTTAGGCAAGAGTCAATGAAGTAGGATAAAGTTGGAAAGGAGCTTTCTATCAAGTACAGTGAGCACCCGTGAAAGACACCAGACATTACAGGGCAACCCCCACGTTTGTGGGACTCATGGAGGAAGAAGCACATTGAAATGCTTTTTGCTGCATTTAGTTGCACCCAGGGCATCCTGAGCAGATGTCTATGCTTCAGTGATGACCTGGAAATTCCTCTGAAACAGCTTCAAGTCTGTAGTATCAAGTGGATGCTAGTGGTTCTTTTCTTAGAAAACAGATTTCTTCTAGGTTGATGTGGGCAAGACCCTTCTCACAATTAAGCTTCTCTTTCATCATTTTTCTATCAGTTTCCCACCACTCAGTAGCTATCATTTGCCTTTCCTACACTTGTTTCTTTGTGTGATACATCCACAAGTCCACCTTTTCTTGATCTGATTCACTGTACTCCTATTATTGACTTAAGTGGACATTTTATTTGGATTGCACAGGTTGTCCCCAAAGGTCTTTTTTGTGTCCCAAGATTCCACCAAATATACTACATTACATTTAATCATTCTGCCTCCTTGAAGTTCCTCTGGACTTTCTCAGGATTCCCTCATCCTTGATGATTGTTGATGGATTTGAGCAGCACTGACCAAGACGTTCCTAAACTTTTGTTCATCTGATATTTTTTTTCATGTTTTGGTTCCTATCAAGGGTAGATGCTGTCAATATGATTTGTCACTAATGAAGTTAACGTTGATCATGTGGCTGAGGTAGGGTCTGCCAGGTTTCTCCCCCCAGAAAGTTAATTTCTTCCCTCCTCTTTCCATTCTCTGCTCTTTGTAAGCAAGTCACTAAGCACAGCCCACATTTGGAGAGGCACCTTGTCCAATTTTTAAGGCCCAGGATTTATTTATGCAGACCCAAGTTACTTAATTCTGGGACTACTGGAATTATAACTTTTTCCTTCTTTCTGTTTTCTCCCATTTCTCCATTATTTTTCTGTTCCTTTGCTATCCTAAATCTATTAGATTAGTAATACTCCAGAGAGTGAAAATAATATCTTTGATTTTCTGAACACAATCTTTCAAGTTTTCTGCCAGCCTTATCCTTTCTCTACTCTCAATCTCCATTCTGCCTTAGCCTGGGGAACCACCAACTTAAAATGTACATCTCTCCCTTCGCATATCGGTTAGCTTCCCCCATGTTTTTCTTTTTCCATACCATCACTTTCTGTTTTTCTCTAGATAATATCTGACTCCAAAACTTTCTTCTTTCATTTAAAGAAAAACCTCCCTTCCTGGCTTTTAAGGCCCTCATTTTGTTTATTAGGATAGATTCCTACTGATGTCTGCCTTTTCTGATGCTTTTCTGAATACTCAAAGGGCAAAAGGGACATATGTATATACTTAAGTGGATATTTGTATCTTTGGTCATTGGTTCCCCAGGACTTTTCCTGTGGGAGTTTTTTATAAACGCCATGATAATAACATTGTTACTACATCTGTACATAGAGACTAACTTGACCATTTTCTCTCCTTTCTGGGTAGTTTGTCATTTCTGGATCTCTGTCAATCATCACGGGGAAAAAGTCAACTAAGTTTTTGGTGAGTATGAGAACTGTGTAATCCACAACTTGATGGATCAAAATGAACTCTTCAAGGTCAATCTCTCTACATTGCAGAATCAGGACGGATGCTTGGTAGAGTTAGGAGTTGAGCTTGGATCATCTATAGGCCCTGTCCAGCACACAAACCACTGTACCCTAGATTGCTATCCTCATTCAGGGTATTGTATTATACCCAAGACCAGTGCCTGGGGGCTTCTTATAGAAAGTCTGCCTCTTTATAATGCCCTTTGATGGTAACTGGCCTTCAAATTTAAGTCTTCAATAACAAAGAAGTTGACAGTGTTTTAAAGATGTCTTGTTTGTTGTGGATTCACTACTTAAGCCCATCTGTCAAAACCCTTGAAAAAACCCAGTTAAAATGTTGTTCATGTGAGGAATTCTTTCTCATTCTTTTATATATCTGATCTGAAAGGTGATACCTTTATTGGATTTGAGTATGAACTCTTGAGTCCTGAAAGTTTTCATTAGTCAGTTGTATAGGCGAAGAAAACAATTTTATCTGCTTTTAACTCTTTCCAGGGAAAACCAGAATTGGAAGTGACAGGGAGAGGAAAGCTGAATTATAGGAGAAGCTTTCTAATCAGTAAAAGTTCACTACGCCTTCACTCAGCCCTAAATCCCTCAAGTAATTTGATATTGGGAGGGTCACCGTGAGGCTGCCATATAACACAGTAGCTCAATTTGGAAGCTTTGGCTACAAAAATCTCCTGAAGGCAGTAAGAAATTAAAGAATGCGCTCAGGACATTGCCAATATCTCTCTTTCTTTTATCAAAATTTAGAGGTGATTGTTTGGAACCTTCACCTAAACCCCACACTATTATATTACTGCTGTCCAGTAGAACTTTCTGTAATGATAGAAATTGCAACAGCTTTACTTTCCAATACAGTAGTCATGTGTGGCTATGGATAATTTGAAATGTGGCTAGTGCAATTGTGGAAGCGAATTTTAAATTTTAGTTTAGTTTACTTTAAATCTAAGGAGTCCATGTGGCTAGTGACCACCATATTAAGTAGTACAATACAAGAATAATATTTGTAGGTTTTCAGGGGATCATATAGGGTTCTTACTGTAGAGAACAACAATACCACAGTGAACATGGCAGGGAACTCAAGAATAAGGTCTTAGGGTAGGCTCTGGCTCACCAGCGTCATCTGTGATATAGTGAATTCTACTGTGGTCAGACATCATACCAGCCCTTTTATGAGGTTGAAGGAGAGTGTTTTCCCAGAACAAACCTACATTATTCTAGGAAATATATTCTTCAGGCATCATGACTGTTGCTGGCTATCAGGAGGCCCAGAAGCATGTACTTTAGTCATTATCTTGGGGAGTTGAGGTTTAAAAGAGTAAAATGCCCTACCTATCTTCTAATGTACCCCCCAAAGTTCCAACTTCTGAGTCCCTAAAAGAAAGGGGGTCTAAATAGGGTTAGGTGATGTTCTCATTTATGGCTATTGCGTGTTCCCTGGACCACACCTATCTATAACTACAGCTTGCAGAATGGTCTTAACTCACTTCTCCCTTCTGTGAGTTGCGGTACAAGGTAAGCCATTAATGAGATTAGTTGATTTATTCCCCTCACTTCATAAATGAAGAAATGAGACCCAGAGTGGAAAATGGCAGAACTGAGTACCCAAAGAACCTGAGGTCATCAAAGGCTCCTACTGTGACTGCAGTTTCCTGATATCCAGGCTACACCTCTTTCTTCTGCCTCACGTTGCCACTCCCATATTACACCATCCTCAGGCCTGAGTCTGGAACTCTGTCTACAGCCATCTATGTGTGGCCCTGGACATGACCAACCAGAGCCTGTCCAGACACAAGGTCCACCTAAGACTGAGAACTATGTCCCCATCCTCATCTTTGTGTGTGTGTGTGTGTGTGTGTGTGTTCATTCAAGAGAGGGTGTGTGCAAGGAAAAGTGAGTTGCTTCACCTGCCTCCTCTGTGTGACTGATGCTTCCACAAGGGGTTTCTGAGTGAACTGGGGGAGAGGGAAACCACATCTGCCATTGGCCACACTCTCTTAAGGATTTTGCAGGCATAGCCTCATAGAGCCCTGCTGTTATCCAGAGTAAAGAATTTAGGAGAGCAATATTCTCTGCCACCCTACTGAAGGCCTGCCTAGGGGAGAATATTTTGTTGATTCATTCACTTAGCTAAGCTTTCCCTTTCTAGATTCAGAAATGTTGCTAGGCACTGGGGAGACATACAGGTTTAGGTCTATCAATTTTAGACCTTCTTAAGGGATACAGAGAAGAAAATATATTTTTGTAATGCATTGATAAAGAGGGCTAAGAGACATTTGTTGCTCATTAGGAGAGAGCCTCACTCAGCATTTCTCTTTCAGGTTCAGAGCAGCCTGGCTGCAAACATTCTGAGCTGTCTATTTGCTCTAGTGGGTTTCGTTCTTCTCTCTGTCAACCTGGCCGCTTTGAGTCCTGCCTTACAAACGTGTTACTCAAACTACGAGAATGTATCATCTGAACACCATTTTCCCTACTACTATGATCCTCACCTAGATCGTGACAGGTCCTGCACCATTATCAACGGCCTTCTGGCTGTAAGTATTTTTAGATGGGATTTTCCAATCTTATGAGGTTTCTTAAAGACTTGATTTCTTGTTACCCCTTCTTTTGAAAATCTCTCTAATTCTTTCTGGCTTGGGTATCTGGAAGAAGACCAAGGCTGTGCAAAGGAGAGGGGACTACATAACTGAGATAAAGTGGATAGGCTATGGGATTACCCACTAATAGGGTAGAATGAAAAAGTCAATGTTAAATAAGATTGATGATGAAAAACTAAAGCTTGTTAGAGTTTCTTACTAATCAAGCTGATTCTATTGTTAGGGGCATGAAATACATCTGTAAATCTTGGTTCATGGAGTAGTGAATTAAGAAAGGCAAAATAGGGCTGGCCAAGTGGCTCAGTCAGTTAAGAGCTTGCTTAAGAGTACGAGCTCTGATCAACAGGATCTCCGGTTCGATTCCCACATGGGCCAGTGAGCTGTGCCTGAGCTAAGCTGCCAATGGTGGCAGGATGGCTCAGCTGGTGAGAGCACGTGCTCCTAACAATAAGGTTGCCTGTTCAATGGTGGGCTATGCCCGTCCACAACTAAAGGCTGAATTCAACACCTTGAGCTGAGCTGCTGCCCGGGTGGCTCAGGGGATAGAGTGTGCGCTCCTAACAACAAGGCTGCTGGTTCGACTCCCGCATGGGATGGTGGCTATGCCCACATGCAACTAATTGAACACAGCATCTTGAGCTGAGCGGCGCGACTGGACTTGGAGCTGAGCTTGCTGCGCCCTCCACAACTAAGATTGAAGGACACCAACGGTTCCCCTCCCCCAATTCCCCAATAAAATCTTGAAGAAAAAGAAAGGCAAAATAGCAGAAAGACCCAAAAGATCAGGAAATGCCAACAAGGAAACAGTATGTATGTGTGTTGGGTGGAGTGTTAACTTGGTCTGAGCAGACATCAGGCCCAGCCCTGAGAAATGGAGAGCAGGAAATACGGGGTTTGAAGGTGAGGGCGTCTCCTCCTCCCAGTGGTTAAATTGATGAGTGGTATTGATCAGGTGAAAAGGCGACATCATTATCATTTTTGCTACCACATACAGAGGTGGAATTTATTAAATTAGAAATATAGGAAGATGGAGAATGTTAACTAATAATGATTGTCATTATTGGAGGAAGAAAAGCAATGAAGTGTGACTAAGAGGAACAATGTGTCTTAAGTTGGAGCATTAAGAGGCATGTATATGGTCAGCAATCAGCAATACATTAAGAAAAAAAAAACCAGGTGACATAAAAATAAAGAGGATGCAGAATATTTATTGTCCTGCAATCATAAAAGTGAGTTAAGACAAGGACACAGTGGAGGATGACCAGATAAAAGCAGAGCTGGTTAAGTTGGCCCATGTTAATGATATTATAATAAAATAAAGTACATGCAAATAAGGTTGATAGTAATTGGTAAAAACAAACATATGGCAAAGCCAACTCCACCTTGGAAAATTTGCAGAGAAGTTTGGGAGGGATTTGTGTAGTAAAGCATGAATTCGTTATGGGATAATTTTACATTGTAAATAAAAGAGGTTATGTTGGGCTTGCTTGTTAGGGAAATTTCTAGGTAATGTAGACAAGTTATATTTCCTCTTTAATTGTGTATAAATAAACTAGAGATTTCTGCAATCACGTTTTCCCTTCTGTTCTATCAAGTGGTCAGTTCTGCATGAATGATGGCTCAGGATAAAAATGGTAGAACTCACTTTCTTGGTATAGTACCTTTGTTGAGTTGTTGTGGGTTGTTAGCAACTATGGCAGTTTACTATCTTGATTGTTCTAGCTTTTACTGCCATCAAGAGAGGCTAAGGAAACCCATCCCAAGGGGTTTGAATAGATAGAAGGGGGTGTCAATATTGAATTTTATAAAGGGCTGGTATAGTCCAAACCTCACAGATTTTCACAAGTCCTTGAGAAGGAAATATCATTATGCACATATGATAAATGAGGAAAGGGAAGCTAGAGGAGTAGTCTCGTTCAGGCTCACTCACACAGCTACTAAGCAGTAGAGGTACAGTTAGTTTGGGAGCTTGGCTTCTCAGTCCTGGGTGTTATCCCTCCACTGTTCTTTTTCACTGAGTGAACAGCATAGTCAGGTGTAGCTGTGTCTCAGAGAGGTAAGAAACAAGTGGATAAAGTGAGTTGATTGAGTTACTGCCCATCGCTCCTCTTCCTCTCAAGGAGATAAATGAGCAAACAGATTAAATTGAGCCAATTGTTATTCTTGGAAGGAGCAGTGTTCTCTTCCTGATGGTGTCCTCAACTATTCTCTGGTGATTGAGGCAGTCTTCATGGCTACAGTCACCTCCCAACAAGGCAAGAAGGCTTCCGTTGACTTAACCATCACCAATCTCATATTTCCTGCATTTTAGGGAACGCTGTCCGTGATGCTGAGTTGTACAATGCTGGAGCTCTGCCTTGCTGTGCTTGTGGCCGTGATTTGGTGGAAACAGGCTCACTCTGACTTCCCTGGCGTGAGTGTGATTGCCGGCTTCCCTGAGCCTTGCCTGCTGTATTTCCATTTCTGGGCTGTGTTGAGCTGTCAGCAAGAGTGTCAGAAGGGTCAATCAGATGCTGGTCATGAGATATATATGGGAGGTAGTTTGATGGTGATGGATGACAGTTAGATAACGAAAGCAGATTGCAATTGAGTTGCTGACCAGCTGAAAATTTGCTGTACGGGAAGATAGCTGAATCTGAGAAATCAACTGATTTGATCTTCCTGTTTTGTTAATGCAGAAACCTGGGAAGTTAAATGGTTTGCCAAGCATTATGCTATGAGTTTGTGCCTATGCTCACATCATTAGAACATGTCGTTTGCCTCTCTTCTAGGCAGGAACACTTTTTTGCCACAGCCACTAGTCTCTCATTTGCACATGTGGCTGGATTCAGTAAATGTCCTATGCTCTCTTTTCCCCTTTCTGTGATTTTAATTTTTTCCCTCTAAAAGATATTTTTTTAATTGTTGACTCAAATCCATAGGACACTCTACCACCACCCAAGACCCATGGCTTTATTTAACTGAATTAAAAAGTTTTGATCTATCTAAAATTTTATTATAGACAGTAGAAGGAATAGTAAGCTGATGAATAGCAGTTATTTAAAGAACTTAATGATATGGTTTACTAATCTTGGAATAGCTAAGAGTTCTGTGTATGAAGTTTGGAGGAGATGGCATCAAGACAAACATATATGTTCAGCTGAACCCTAGTGAAACCTGAAAAACTAACATATTTTGTTTCTTCCAGGGTGTGCTTTTCCAGCCTCTGAGTCATAAGGATAAAATTGGTATGGCCACAAAGGCAACTTTAGACCCTGGATATGAAGAACTATTGACTTCTTAGGGGGAAAATATTCATCAGAAATTTGGTCTTTATGATAACATATGAAAATCGACCAAAGAAACCCAAGCCAAAAAAGCAAATTTTAAGTTCCCTGAAATGTAGACTTTTATGTAATAAACATTAAAAAAAAAAACCACAATATTTGTTCTCTTGCTGTTGACTATATGTGTTCAATGGGGCTGGGAATGGTGGGTCTCTCCATTTGCCAGATATTGACTTGAGCAAAAGTCCAGAACTATAAATTACAATTGATTAGACTGGTCAAATAGACATTTCCCAGAAAAGGAGGCAGAATGGTGATTCGGTAGATGATGGTGAAGTAAAAGAGACAACTTTTTCTTGTACCACTTCATTGCCAATAGCAGTTAACTGATTTATTGTGGTGTTCAGACTCTTTTATAGTAGACACTAGTGTTTCATCATATGTATTTTACTCATTAGTGCATGCAAACAAGCCTCCTATAATTAAGTCTCAGGACCTATATAAGTAATTGGCTTCAAACTGAAATCTTTATTTAATTACTA